TGCAGATCATCAAATTTGCCATAGCGGATTTCTCGTCACAGCGGATTTTTTTGGCTGGTACCATAAATCCGCTGTGATGAGGTTAGACTGTATTAGAAACATTCCGATTAATTACTTTAACCAATCTCTTGAGTCACACATTAAAAGACAAAATAATGTTGTATAAATGAATGCTGCGACTAACAATACCCCAAATAACGTAAGGAATACTAGATTAATTGGATCAAAAAAATGTTTAGTTGTAAATAATAACACTGCAGAATGTTGGGATGAATATATAACTTGGAATAATATTAAGAATAAATAGATCCATTTAAAATATTCAGAATCATCACTAACCTTTTTAACTTTGACATGCTTAATTGTCGTGTATATTGCGCAAATTAGATACAAATCCATGTCACAAATGAAAATATCTTTATACTCAGCAAATCATCGTAGGCAAAAGAAACTACCAGAGGAATCACCCCCAAGTGACTGTGTTGTACAATATGTCATCCAGTAATGGCAACAGCACTCTTTTGATAGACCCAGATTCCCTTTTCACATTGATCAAAATGACAAAAAAGACTGGAAAGAACATGTTAAGCATTGCATCATACACATCCTCTTCAGACCTATACTCTTCGTTGACAAGGGATGCTATCATAAGCGGAAGGAGTGAAAAGAACAAGATAAAATTCAATTTCACATGTTTGCTTTGGTTGAATAGAGGCCCTTTGAAGAGAAAATAATTTTTAATGTCAAATAATACGAAAGCTTCTCCCATAGACTTATTTTATAGACAATATATTCAATCAATAAATATATTTTTATTCCACTAATTATTAATAAATATATATAGGAAATAAATGCAATAAAATGTAAATAAAAATACGAATATAAAAATAAGAAAATGAAAGAGGCTAAGTCACATGTTACTGATCACTTAAAGAATTCATTGAATTGCTATGGTTTCTTTAAACAGCAAAGAATTGGCATGGATGAGTGATAGCGATATCTTGGAAAGAAAGGGAAACAGATTGTGAAATCTAGAATTAAAATGAAATTACAGAAAAGTTAAAATCATGTATTTATAACTGACGCGACCTCACAATATTTTGAATACATCAATCACAAATTGTCCAAGTTAGAATGTTATTTTAATTTATTAATTAATTCATTAATTATTTATTGCTATTTATTATTATGGTGTGGGATCTGTAGGGATGATTGAATTTATTAAAAACTCATCATCACCATCATCACCACCATCGTCATCGTCATCATCTTCTTCTTTTCTTCTGCCTCATTCTCATTCCCATTCTCATTCCCATCCTCATTTTCGTTCTTATTTTCTTCAACTTCTCCTCTAAGTACGTGTATATAAAAATAAAATTTAGTTCATAAATATTTAAATGGTATTATAGTTTTTTTTAAAAAAAATAATATATATATAATAAACAACTAGAACTTGAACCAACGAAGCAACAGTTTTAATAATACTTACATATTTAATTTTTTTAAATTACTTGACTCATCTCTTGTTCTTCTTTTACGTTTACGACACGGCTATGTTGGAACCATCTAAGTATATAAAAATAAAATTTAGTTCATAAATATTTAAATGGTATTATAGTTTTTTTAAAAAAAATAATATATATATAATAACTAGAGCTTGAACCAAACGAAGCAACAGTTTTAATAATACTTACATGTTTAATTTTTTTAAATTACTTGAGTCGTCTCTTGTTTTTCTTTTACATTTACGACACGGCTATGTTGGAACCATGTCGTAACTCTTGGAAAGATTTTCCATATGCCACTAATTAAATTTTTGTCGTAACAGATTTTTTAAAAATTTTTGC